AACAACCAAGCCAGCCACCAGGGATATACTATGAAAAGAGTGATGCCTCTTTGGGAGGTGTCAGCCAGCCCTTCCAAAGGATTCCAGAGGAAGGCATTGTTATTTCAGGAGGGGGCAGCTCCCTGCGTGCGATTGGCCCTGAAGATCTTCGGGTGGAAAGCTATAGAGATGGAACACGGTGAAATTAATTATCCTGACCATGCATGGGTTAAGCTAATGAGTGTGCTTTAAACAAAAAGTTTAAAAAGTAAAAAAAAAATTAAAAATTGAAAAAAAACCTCATAGAATAAGAATATAAAGAATGATTTTTTTTTTTTTGAGACATGGTGTCACTATGTAGCCTAGCCTGCCTAGCAATTGCAACTGCTCTTCCAATTGTAGTAGTGCTCCTGGTGTTTGGGACACAGCTATTGGCCTGACAGGTGATTGTTTCGCTCCATATAGTTTGTAAGAAACACCAGAAGCAGTTTGCTTTTACCTAGCAGGGCCCAAAGTGCTGCTTTGTACTCAGGGTTGCATTAAGTTTTCAGTTATCTGTACGCAGAAATCTCATTTTGTTTCTCTTGCAGTTCTAGAAAAATCCAGGTCTCATGCATGCTAGGCAAGTGCTCTACCACTGAGCTCCATCCCCAGTCCTTACTCTACATGTATCTTCATCATCTTGACCTTGCACATAATACAGCATCAGGACATTGATGTGATTTTGCTGACTGAATCTGACAAACTGGAAATACCAAGTATTTTAGACGCCTTAGTAAAACGTGAAATAAAGGGTGGGAAATAAACAGCACAAAATTTCACGGATCTTCTACTGCAGACAAGTATCTGGGAGTCCAAAATTCTGTAAGTCCAGGCTGCAATACAAGCTTTTCTTCACTTGCGCCTATGAGTCAACAAATTTAATGATATTCAAAGAGTTGTGTCAGAAATGTTGTATGGAGTTTGTGGCAAGCACCAGAAGGTGAATCACAGAGCAGACAGCTAGGATTTTAGATATGCAGATAACCGTTCTCTTTTTGCTTGCTTCTGAGCCCTAGTAGAACTTGGAAGCCTAACCACAGGATATTAAGTAACCATGTGGCCTGAGCTTCCCATGATGAGTTAGGTGGCATCTTGACTACCAAGCTTGAGGATGGGCATCCACACCAGCAATTTCTCTTTGGTATATAAGAAATGAGCATCCAGTGGCTCATGCCTGTAATCCTAGCTACTCAGGAAGCAGAGATCAGGAGAATTGTGGTTTAAAGCCAGCCCGGGAAAATAGTTTGTAAGACCCTATCTTGAAAAAAAACTCACCACAAAAAAGGGCTGGTGGAGTGGCTCAAAGTGGTAGAGCACCTGCCTAGCAAGTGTGAGGCTCTGGGTTCAAGTACTGCAAAAAGAGAAACAAAAAAGGTAGGAAGGAAGGAAAGAATAAATAAGGCTCAGCTACATATGGTGGCTTGTACCTATAGTCCCTATTTATTATAATGCCTTTAATGCTGAGGCAGGATGATCTTGAGTTCCAGGTCAGCCTGAGCTTTATATCGAGTTTGAGTTTGAGAGTTTGAAACCCGCTGGGGCTGCCAAACCCTGTCACAAAAAACCAACAAAAAAGAAGCCCAAGCATGTCTGGATGGTGAAGGCATAAGTGAGTTACATGAGCAGGTCATTTTCCTTTGACCTCAACTCTTGTTCTACTGCCTCCTCATGGGGAGTTCTTTATATCTACAGCCTGGTTTCAGACAGTCTGTACCAGATACTGGCACCATATGGGACTGGATGGCTGACACATGACAGCTCCACTCAGAGGTGGCCCCAAAAGACAGTAGTGTACTTCCATTGAAGATTAAAATCCTTCACAAAAGAAGATTGGGGTCACCCCACCAGGGAAAGAACTCTAAACAGCTGAGATCCTAGCAGAGAACAAAGGGAATATGAAATGACTAGTAAAAAAATAAAGCTATAAATATCAACTATTGCTTTGTGACCAGTTACAGAAATAAGAACTGTTAAAGCAATGCAAATTTTCTTTTATTGTTGTGCATGCATATATAATTATAATTTATAAATCCTATAATAATTATAAAATAGATAATTATAATTTGTAATTATGCACATATATATAAGTAAGGCCTAAGGGCATAGCTCAAGTAATAGAACATTTGCCTAGTAAGCATGAGGTCCTGGGTTCAATCCCCAGTATTGCAAAAAAAAGTATATATACATAAAGTATACATATATTATATACATAATATGTATGATATAATAATTTTCTCTCTTTTCCTTCCTATTATTATTTTTCCTTCTTATAATTTTATGCAAAATTTTTCAAAGTTAACTTTACAATTCGGTTTTCAGGTAATAGAATGTTCACATCGGAATGTGACCGATTTTAAAGAATTATTAACATAGCCCAGAGAGAGATACAGTGACTGTTAGAATTTTCCATCTCCTCATTTTGGGGAGTAAGTGAGAATGCATTTGTACAAAGAATAGTTAAACCTTGTTACGTAGAAAAAGTCTTGTGTGGAAGTTCAAGTGTGGGTACAGTGCACATGGATGCTGAGCAGCCAAATAGGAAGACTGTGCTGATACTAAGTCACTGTCTTTCAGCTCCAAACCATTTGTTTACACTCTGCTTTGACTTTTTTTTTTTTTGGCAGCACTGCGGTTTGAACTCAGGGCCTCACAGTAGCTAAGCAGGTGCTCTTACAGCTTGAGGCACTCTACCAGCCCATCTTGAACTTTTTTATTTTATTTTTTTGATGGTACTAGGGTTTGAATTCAGAGTCTCATGTTTGCTGGGTAGGCACTCTACCACTTGTGCCATTTGCCAGCCCAATGCTCTGAGATATTGGAGCTAGGACTGGCCTATTGGCTCAAGTGGTAGAGTGCCTCCTTAGCAAGCATGAGGCCCTGAGTTCAAACCTTTTACAGAGAAGAAAAAAAAGAGATTCTGGAGCCAGTATTGGCTATGCCAATAGGGGGCACTAGAGGGAGACTGCAGAACTGTTATGGAAGAGATTCACACCTTTCTGGCACTTTATCTTTTTATTTACTTTTTTGCAGTACTGGGGTTTGAACTCAGAGCCTACACCTTGAGCCACTCCACCAACCTTTTCTTTTTCCAAGATAGGATCTCGGGAACTATTTGCCCAGGCTGGCTTGGAACTATGATCCTCCTGATCTCTGTCTCCTGAGTGGCTAGGATTATAGACATGAGCCACTGGTACCCTATCCCACATCTTTTAAGATGAGAGGAAAGAGCAGATGCAAATAGACATTATGTATAGAGAGGAAGGAAACTGAGAATCAAGTAGGCGAGCTTTGTTTTCTATAAAGTGACAAGGAGCAAGAAAAAGTTTAGGGTTACAAGAAGACCCAGTTGAGGTAGGACAACAGGTATCAGTTCTAGAACCAGTATGTCTAGAAGTTTTTTTGTTTTGCAGTACTGGGGCTTGAACTCACAGCCTTCACCTTGAGCCACCAGCTTTTTTATGTGAAGGGTATTTTTGTGTTAGGGCCTCACAACTGCTTGCTGGGGCTGGTTTCAAACCATGATCCTCCTGATCTCTGCCTCCTGAGTAGCTAGGGTTACAGGTGTGAGCCACTGGTGCCTGGCAAGTATGTCTAGTTTTGTGACTTTGTTTTACAGTCCAGGAGCAAAGGGATTCACAATAAGGTTCACTTCAAGGTAGGGCTCATCAAATACAGAGCCTTGGGCACCAGAGGTTTTTGCATGTGTACCAATTAGTGATCTTTGAGGTCACTGCTCTCAGCTTCCTACCCTCCCCATTGTGTATTTTGACTTTCTTTCTTAGTCCTTTCAGTTCTAGTCTCCAGCTTTCTCTTTTTCTGTATGTTTCCTTATGTTTTACAGGGTTTGACCTTAGGACAAACCCTAAGGTCACCCCCAATGATTCCTCCATCTTGATATTCATACCTTTATTTGATCCCCTTCTTTTTAGTGCAAGTGGCACCTGTGACTTGCTTCCAACCAAACAATAGAGCAAAGGTGATGGCATGTTATTCCTGACTTACATATAATAAGCTACATAAAGCTCAGTCTTAGGGATGGGGTGTAGATCAATGGTAGACTGCATGCTTAGCATTTGAGGCTCTGGTTTTGATTCCCAGACCACAAAACAAAACAAAACACTGTCTTAGCAGATGGGATCTAGAGACTCTCCTTGTCAGTTTCATGAAGGGAGTGGCCCTGCTGGAGAAACCTCCATAGCAAGGAACTGTGGTAATCCCTACTAACTACAGGTGGAACTTGAGGGAGGCCTCCTACAGACAAACAGCAAAGCCCCCAGACCCCCAGTCACAGTCACAGAAATAAGTTCTGTCGACAATCTGAATGGGCTTGCAAGTGGACTCTTTCCCCATTTGAGTCTTCAGATGAGGATACAGTCAGGATGTCATCCAGCTTTGCAGCCTCCTGAGACTCCATTCAAAGGATCTAGCTAAAATTATTTCAAGACTCCTGACCTGGGATTTAGGAGATAAGATGTGGTAATCTGTTCCACAGTAGTGGAAAACTAATACAACCAGAATTCCTGGGAAAAAACAAAACAAAAAACCCCTCAGGCATGATCCCTGCATTAAGGACACAGAGCTGGTGAGAGAGGCCAGACGGTGTGCCACACACACCCAATGGACACTTTGAACTTTCAAAGCACACCCACTTGCCCCCCAGAATGCTTTCTGGTCAGTCCTCAGAGATGGGGGTGCTGACCCTGGAACTATAGAATAGCTCACCAGAGAATCTCGCGCTTGCCCTGAGCTTGGCACACAGTGGACTCTTACCGAATGGTCAGATTGCAAAGGAGGAAAGGAGTTTCGAGGGCGCATCTGCTGATCCCTGCTTGTGCAGAGGGACAGGGCGGCGCGGACACTCGCGCGGGTCCTGCAGCGGCCCGGCTGCGCCATCCCGGGCCCGGGCGGAGGGGGCGCTGCGGCGGGAGGCCGCGGTGGCGGGGGCGGGGCCGCCCCCAGCGAGCCAGCCAGCCAGCGAACGAGCGAGCGCCGTGCGCCGCCGCCACCTCCGCTGCTCGGCCGGGTCCCCGAGCCGTTCGTCCGGCCGGCCGGCGGGGCGCGGAGCCGAGGCCCGCGGCCGGCCGCATGAAGGACTGCGAGTACCAGCAGATCAGCCCCGGGGCCGCCCCGCCGCCCGCCTCCCCCGGGGCGCGTCGCCCCAGCCCCGCCGCGCCCCCCGCCCCGAGCCCCGGGCCCGCGCCCGCCGCGCCGCGCTGGAGCAGCAGCGGGAGCGGGAGCCTGGGCCGCCGCCCTCGGCGCAAGTGGGAGGTGTTCCCGGGCCGCAACCGCTTCTACTGCGGCGGCCGCCTCATGCTGGCCGGCCACGGCGGCGTCTTCGCTCTCACGCTGCTGCTCATCCTCAGCACCACCGTCCTCTTCTTCGTCTTCGAGTGAGTTCCGGCCGCCGCCAAGCCCGCGCGCCCCTTCCCCGGCTCCCACCTTCGCAGCCCGCATCCTCCCCGCTCCTCTCCGCGCTGCCCTCAGGCCTCTCCGGGCTCCTCGCTCAGCCCGGGTCGGCCCGCCCGGTCCCCTCACCCGCCCTGCCCAGCCTGGCCCCTGCCTTTGCCGGCCTGTGCGGGGACAACACCCTCCTGTGCCCCTCCATCACTCACTTTGCTCCCAGAACCAGACCCCTAGGCCTCCCCGCCCTCCTTGGATCCCTCCTGCTCTCCCATCCCTGTCCATCTCTTGCCCACCCTAGCTCGTCCGACCTGCTAAGGCATCTTTCCTTTCTATCCTTCTCACACAACTTCTAAGTTTCTGGGTCCTCTGGCTGCGTGCACCCACTGTGGAGTTCCTGAACATCTTTTCGGCTTCCTCCAGGGACCCCCAGGGGCGCTGCTCCGCTCAGACTTCCCCTTTGCTTTCACTCAGTTATGAGCCTCTAGACCCCAAGGCATCCTCCCTCAGGCATCTCTGGCCTCAGACCGCTCCTCCGGTGTCGTGTCCAGCACCTTCCTCCTGTCTGCAGAACTCTCTGGTCCCCAGACGTCTCCCAGGCCCCTGACCACCTGGCTTTCTTTCCCTTCTGGCCTGTTCCACATTGGGACGGCATAGTGCCTTGTTGTTTTTCAAGAAAGCATCCAGAGTGCTTTCCTCTGACAGGTCCTATTTGCTCCTGTGGGTTTTTAACCTCTTCACCTCCCCAGTGACCCGAGATTGGCACATACTGTATCCATCTTATGGCTGGAGGAGTGGATGCTTATCACTTTACTGGGGCCACCTTTGTGCATCGGAAGTTTCCATTCCACCCTTGGTCTCCAGCTGGAGCCACCTGCGACATAATTCCTTGCACAAGCTCCCACGCATGCACACCCACCCCGTGAGCCCCACTCTCCACTCCTAGTTCTCCCCATCCCTTGGGGTTGGCTTCCTTTATTACACAGTGCAGTTAAGAACTCTGCCCCTGGAGCCAGCAGACTCAGCTCTACCACACATTAATTGTGTGACCTCGGGGCAGTCACTTCACCTCTGAGAGCCCCAGTTTCCTCATCTGTAAGATGGGCCTTTAATAGGCCCCACCCTCTAAGCTTCTCACAAGGTTGGTATGAGGTCATGCATGCAAGCTTTTAGCCAAGAAGCACTTCCTGAGGGCATGTAGCCATGGTGAGGCTGTCACAAAGTCATAGCTCCCAAGTACCTCTCCAACTGCCAGGTCATGTATATGCAACCTTGGGTTTCCCCTTCAAGCAAGATGAAGACTTCCTGCAAATTGGCTTCTCCTTTTCACCCTTACACCAAATGCCCTGCCCTTCTGCTTTGAGTCAGGGTGTATAAAAAGTTCAGGATGGTTTGCAAGCAGAAGCTCTGGGGCCCCAGCCCACTGCATGGCCCTTGGACTGAGTTTCAGATCTACCTGGCCAACTGGCCATGTGGGTGTTGTGGAAGTGCCTTTTCCAGAACCCCAGAGCTGCTCTCAGGACTGTGGGCGAATAGAAGGAAGTAGTGCTGGTGGCGGTGGGCCTTGTGATTCTGCATTGTGACAGTCGGTCAGTTAAGAAGCAGGGACTCTAGCTGGGGCCCTGTGTCTTCACTCCTGGTGATGAAGTTGTCCCTGGCTTAGGACTTCTGAGCTCAGAGAAAGCCTCTGAATCATCTTGGCTTTTACTTCTGCTTGTCTTCACTTGGGGCAGGAGGTGGACACAAGATCCTGGCTGGCTGTGCTTGGGGGTTGGATCTGGGGAGCACTGAGATATGTGGAGCAGAGTATGGCTCACGTGGAGCCCTTAGCCTTGGTATGCTCTGTTCCTCAGGGGAAGAGCCTCTCCTAAAGGCCAGGGCATCTGATGATGAAGGCTTCTGAAGCAGTGTGCAGATGCCCACAGGTTTGCTTTCTGCTTCTGGGCCAGCTCTTGGAACTTTGTCCTCAGACCTTCTAGCAGCCAGTCATCTCTCAAATAGCAGCTCCCCATCCCCATCAGATCTACCCTGACTATAGCTGGGAAGGCAGCATAGGGTGGTGGTTGATATAGTGTAGAGCTCCAAGTCAGACCTGGCTGAACCCCACTTTAGCATTCCTGAGCTGTGTGATCTTGGACAGGTTGCTTAAGCTCTCTTAGCTTTTAATTTGCTCATTTGTCAAGTATGGAGCATAACCTCAGAGGGTCACAGTGAAGATTTGATGAGAACGTGTATGTGAAGTACACATATTAACAACTGTAGGTGTTGTTAATAACTACTTGGTTAGGGCAGTGTCTGGCACATAGTAAGCCTTCAGAAGATGGAGCTAGAGGCCGAGTGCATTGCTCATGCCCATAATCTCAGGTACTTAGGAGGTGAAGATCAGGAAGATTGAGGTGAGAGCAGCTGGGGCAAGAAGTTAATGAGACCCTATCACAACAAAAAGAAGATGGGTGTGGTGGTACACACCTGTCATCCCAGCTACATTGGAGGCATAAGTAAGAGGATCAAAGTCTGAGGCCAGCCCCAGGCAAAAAATGTAAGACTCTCCCTGAAAAATAACTAAAGCCAAAAGATCTAGGGTGTATATGGCTCAATTAGCAGCGTGTCTGCCTAGCAACCATGAAGCCCTGAGTTCAAACTCCAGTACCACCAAAGATGGAGCTAATTAGAGCTAGGGAAATGCTATTAGGAATCTCAGTTGGTAAATTGCTCACCTAGCATGTGTGAAGCCAGCGCTGAAAAAAAAAGGTAGATATTTTCTTGTCTCCTTGACAGAAGGGGAGCACCATCCATTTGACTCTCATTTACTGAGCACCTTCTTGGTGCTGGGCGCTGGTGCTGGGAACATATGGTGAGGAAGAGGGCACTATCTGGATCCTCAGAGGAGCTCGTTGCTTAGCAGGAGAGAGGCAGTCAACATATGGACGGACAAGCATTTTTAATAAATACTACACTGGAAACAGTATTAAGGAGGCCTGCTGTGTGAAGTATTGTCAAGGAAGGGCCTTCTGAGGAGGGGAGAACACTCCAGCAAGTACAAAGACCCTGAGGTAGAAAAGTGCCACAGTAGCTATTGGAATGGGAAAAAAGGGGGCGTGGGGAGTTTTGTAGAATGAGACTGGAGAAACCTTCAGTAGGGTCCAGATCATGCCTAACCTAGAAGGCTGTATAGTATGGTGTTGGATTTTACTCACAATGTCATGGGAAGCCATCAAGGGTTTCACCCAGGGAAATGATACGATTTCATTTACACTTCCAAAAAGTGGCTCCGACTTTTTGGGTGGATAGTAGAATGACAATGGAGAAGACTGGCTCCAGAGAGCCCCGATAGGCTCACTTCATCATAAAGCCATGTTCCCACCAATGTCCAGAACTTCTAGAATGTTCCAGCCCTAAGATGGAAGTTGAAAAGGGATGTGGAACCTGGTGGTAGGCCTGCTTGGTGGAAGAAGAGGCATGACTGTCTGGCAGGCATGGGCTGTTCTCTGAGCCAGTCAGGACCAGAGGGGCTGACAGAACTCCCTCAGGGTTACCAATCCTTTGGGTGATAGTGGCAGGGGCTGGACTATGCTGTTTTTCCCCAAACTTCCACTCCTGGGTTTAGCTTCAGTATTATCTCCTTTGGGGTGCCTTTCCTGTTTCTCTGCCCTCCCTTCCCCCATTACAGCACACATCACCCTGTGTGGCAATTCCTTGTTTACACATCTCTTTTCCCCACTAGACCATAGATGCATGGCAGGGGGACTCTTGTCATATCCATGGCCATTTGTCCTGCTGCTTATTGAGATGTTGCTTGGCACCCAAAACTCAGTAAATATTTGTGGAGTGAGTGACTGAATGAATGAATCAACATTGCCATGATTGGTTCATCTCAAGCAACCGTTCACGTAATTATAGCTGCTCTCTGGAGCTCTGTATTTAGGAGGATTCTGAGGCTGTAGCTGAGTGAGGGGGTTAAGAGTGCTGGGATCTGTTGGTCACATCTGCCTGCCCGTGGGCCCACGGGAGGGAGAGGATCCATTAGTGATGTCTGTTGTGGACACTTTTAGGGAATTTATGATCACCTGGAGCTAAGCTGTACCTCTGTCTCAGGGAGAGGCTCTATCCAAGAATATGGTGGCTCAGGAAGCCCTGGGGATCTGCTGAGCTCTCTCCATCTCTCGTTCTAGCTGTCCGTACCTGGCCCGCAATCTGACCCTTGCCATTCCCATCATCGCTGCCATCCTCTTCTTCTTCGTCATGAGCTGCCTGCTGCAAACGAGTTTCACGGACCCTGGGATCCTGCCCCGGGCCACCGTGTGTGAAGCAGCTGCCCTGGAGAAACAGATCGGTGAGGCTCCTGCTCTCAGCCCTAGTTGTGTTTCCCCAGTTCCATGTTCCTGGGCTCAGGAGAGGGAGGCTTAATTTTTCTCTTGCAACTCTTTACTAGGAACTGGGGATGCAGTAGTGAGCAAGGCAGGCTGGAGCTGACACTAGTAGAGGGAGATGGGATGATTTAAAAGAAAAAAAAAAAAGAAAGCAAGTGGGGCTGGTGGAGTGGCTCAAGTGGTAGAGTGCCTGCCTAGCAAGCATGAGGCCCTGAGTTCAAACCCCAGAACTGCCAAAAATAAATAAATAAAAGAAAAGCTAACAAGTAAGTAAGCAAGCAATGCTAGCCAACGAAGACTCTGGAAGCCTGCCTGGAACTGAGTACTTCCGGGCAGCCAGACCCTGTTTTAAGCTGTATATGCATGAATTTATTGAATCCCCCAGTAATCTTGTGGGGTAGCTACTGTGTTATTCTCCTTTTACTGATAGATTTAAATGAGGCACCCAGAGGTTAAGGAAATGGTCAAAATCACCCAGTAAGTAGAAGTGTTCAGACACAAGGCAGTTTGGCTAAAGCCTCTGCTTTTTTATTTATTTATTTATTTTTTGGTTGCAGTACTGGGGTTTGAATTCAGGGCCTACACCTTGAGCCATTCCACTAGCCCTATTTTTGTGAAGGGTTTTTTTCAAGATAGGGTCTCTGTAACTATTTGCACATGCAGGCTTCGAACCGTGATCCTCTTGATCTCTGTCTCCTGAGTAGCTAGAATTACAGGTGTGAGCCATCAGCTCCTGGCAAAGCCCCCCCTGCTTTTAAACATTTGTATATACACTTATTTAATTCACTCATCAAACTTTTATTGAGCCTCTGCTGTATGCCAAATACTTTGCTAGACTTGATATAGCAGTGGAGGAAACTGACAGTAATCTCTGTCCTCATGGAGGTGATATTCCAGGGGAGCAGAAAGACCTTATATAAACAAATATCTAGGATTTTAGAGAAGGAGAGAGCAGAGTGAGTGGATGAGACCTGGGGGAGGGCCAGAGAAGAAGGTGGCATCTGAGCAAAGAGGCCCAAAACTGTAGAGGTGAGGGCTGGGTGGGGGAAAAAGAGAGGAGTGCAGTTGATGTGTGGCATGGCCAGTTCAGATTGGGTGGTCAGGGAAGGCTCCTAGGAGATGATCCCTGAATTATGTGGTAGGAAGATGAGAATTGGCACAGTAAAGGCAAAAGCCCAGAATGGGGAAAAGCTGACTGGGCTGAAGGGACAGCAGGAAGGCCCATGTGACCAAAAAGAGCCTGTGCTTCCAGGCACTACAGGTGACCCTTGATTCCTTCCAGACTGCCTTGCAGGTTCCCCTGGGTGGCTGGGCCCTGGGGTCAGAGCCTTAATCTCAGCTTCCTCCACCCCAGCTCCTTCCTGCTAGAAATGACGTGGATATTTGCACACCTCGGGGGTTTCCTGTGGGTGGTTGGCTCCTTCCCCTCAGAGAGCGGCGTTCACAGGCTTTTAAACACCCAGCTGGCCCTGAAGAGATCTAGTGGCCTGTAAATGTCAGAGCCTTGCAGCATCCATCTCTAGAAATCATCTCACTAATTCTCTGGAGCAGCTTGGGAGAGGACCAGCAGGGAGAGGATGTTCTCTCAGCATTGTTCTTTGTCTCCTTCCTCTGCCCAGGCCTGCCCAGCCACACCCATGGCTGTTTCCTTCCCTTTGCACCAGTCATTGGCCTCTGGCCTCCCTGATTCAGCTCCTTCAGTGTCCCTTGGTCTGACCTGGGCTGTTCCACCTGAACTGGGGCAGTTCAGTGGTCACCTCATTCTTCAGGTCGGGGCTAATTGTGAGGCAAGATTTCTCAGCCAGACTCAGAGGTCTGACTCCCTGGAATCCTCTGGCCTCCTGTGAGCTGCTTGGGTAATAATGACAACAGTAATCCCATGTTTGGGGGAGAGATTGATACTGTGCCCGGTGCCATTTACCCATTATCCCCATAAATCTTTTCAACATCCAGTATGGCCAACTCTGGGAACCAAGTGTGCTGATCCAGACACCGAGCACCACCTGGTGGTCACCAGGCCAGGCAGTAAAGGAGTATGCGATGTCCTTGTTCCCAAGCCCTGAGATGGCAGCAGGGACACATCTGCTTGCTTCACTTTATTCTTATGTCTCCAGTCTAGTGTCCCTTTTTTTTTTTTTTTTTCGTGGAATTCAGGGCCTACATCTTGAGCCACTCTACCATCTCTTTTTTTTGGAGATAGGGTCTCAGGAACTATTTGCCTGGGCTGGGCTTGGACCGTGATCCTCCTGGTCTCTGCCTCCTGAAAACCTAGGATTATAATCGTGAGCCACTGGCACCTGGCTGTAGTATCCATTTTTGACCCCAGTTGGGCCAGGCCCTCCGTGACATGTTCCCACACACCTTCTTCCTTCCCTGTGCTGCATAGTGTGCATAGTGGTCATTACAGAATTATTCCTTCCGCTGGATTGTGAGAGTATTGCACACAAATGTCTTGTTCACCTTGTCACTGTGTGGAAGGCTCAGTGATGTTGGTTGAAGAGATGAACCAATGACTAAAGAATGTGACCCTCCTTGCTGCCCCAAGGGGACTGGTTGAGGGAAGTTGGAAAGTCTCCCAGTAAGACATTGTGGGTTTGTGCTTTTTGTGTTAGTTCTACATGCTGGCTTCTGGCAATAGAGGGACAGGAATCTGATGTGCACCCTACCCTTTGGTGGCTTCCAATCTAGGTCAGTGCAAGGGGAAAGGCCTAAGCGGCCACCTCAGGCTAAATCAGGCTTTGGAAGACAATTAAAGAAATCAAGAGTGTCTTCCATTTGGAGGACTTGGAGAGGCTTCCTAGAGAAGTAACAGTTGGGCCAAGCCTTAGATATAGTCATGTGCCACATCATTTTGGTCTACAGTGGACCCCAGATATGACTGTATTCCCATAAAATTAAATTGCCTTGACCAGGTATTGGTGGCTCATGCCTGTAATCCTGGCTACTCAGAAGGCAGAGATTAGGAATGTTGAAGTTCAAAGCCAGCCTGGGCAAATAGTTCGGGAGACCTGTCCTCGAAAAAACCCATCACCAAAAAAGGGCTGGTGGAGTAGCTGAAGGTGTAGGCCCTGAGTTCAAACCCCAGTACCACAAAAAAAAAAAAAAAAAAAAAAGATTAAATTGCCTAGTGGCATTGTGTCCCTCTTAGTTTGTGTAATATACTATATGACATTTGCACAAGGAGAAAAATAACCTAGTGACATAATGACACATTTCTCAGAACATAGCCCTGTCTGTCCTTAGGCAACGTGTGACTATATTTTAAAAGGAAAATTTGTTTCACCTTTGTAAGTGCAAAGCCAGATTCACTTGCTCTGAGTAAAAGATAATCACAGAAGCAAAAGCAAGTGTTAAGGATTTCCTGGTGGTTGCAGTTGCATATGGAAGGCAGTGACTTTGAGGTGTGTGGGGGTCACGGGATAATCGTATTAGAAGTTGACTTTCCACTTGCCACAGTCATAGGCTGAAAAGAGAATTGAAAGGGAATAACTCTCATCACATGATTCAGTGTTGCTTAGTGTCCTGGCAGGAAACTCCCTGCAGGGGGTGGAGCTTGCAGGATGAGGCCAGTAGCAGTGCCCCTCACCCTCATTTCCTCCTGCTCAAGTGGCCCCCAGCCGTGTTGGCATATTGGTATGTTGGTCAGGGCCTCTGTGTCTTTGGCGCTTGATCATGCTGTTCCCTCTACTTCGTATTCTAAGCCTGTGGTCTCATTCTTCTTGCTAATTACCTTTTTTTTTTTAATTCAGACGGTTTCAATATGTAGCCACAAACCAGACTTCATTCACATTCTTCTATCTCGGCCTGCTTGATGTGCCACCAAATCCACTTAATTGTCACTTCTTCTGCTTTCTTGAATTTATCTTCTTTCCCATCCCAGTATTCCCCTGTGTATTCTTAAGGGATTGAGTGTAGACACCAACATCAGTAATTGACTAGTTTATGAGTTAGACCTTGAGAGTATGTTATCTCTTGTTTTCATAAAATCTTACAAAGTTGAGCCCAAATAGTTTGCAAGACCCCATCTCCAAAAATAACCAGAGCAAAATGGATTGGTATTGCTCAAGTGGTAAAGTGCCTGCTTTGCATCCTCAAAGCCCTGAGTTCAAACCCCAGTCCCACACACACACACACAAAAAGCCTTTCCAGTAGCCCAGGGGCAGCACTAGGGACTTCCACATTAGCACTGGGCTTCAAGACTGCTCCAGCAGTGCAGGTTGTCATGGGGTGGGGAGACCCACAGCAGGTGCCTTGCTTCTCACAGCCATTCACTGGGAGAGGATGAGCCCCTCCCCTTGGAATCACCTCCTCAGAGGCTTTGGTTTCCCAAGGCAGCCTGAGGGCAGGAAGAACCCTGGAGAAGATCTGAGATTTCCTTAGGGCAGAGAAGTATCTCTTATCACTCCCCCTTCAACAAATATATTTTTTCAATCTAGAGGCTGAGACAGGAAGATAGTGGGTCCGGATGCTGGTAGCTCATGCCTATAATCCTAGCTACTCAGAAGGCAGAGATCAGGAGGATTGAAGTTTGAAGCCAGCTCTGGACAAATAGCTCTATAGACCCTATCTTGAAAATACCCAATACAAAAAAGGGCTAGTGGAGCACCTGCCTAGCAAGTGTGAGGCCCTGAGTTCAAACCCCAGTGCCAAAGGCAGGTATTTTTTTAAACACCTGCCATATGCCAGGCAGGCACAGGGTAAACAAACTTACCTATATTTACTTGCCCCTTCCCACCACCCTGAGGCCTTGTACAACATCTTGTATGTAGTAGACATTCATATGTAAAAGAATGAACAAATGAGTGCCTGGGAGGCCGAGATTCTGATTTCAGCCCTATCATATATTACTGAAGTGAACTCAGTTTCTCATTTGTAAAGTGTGAGTTTGCCTCCCCTTACCTGGTCCAGAGCATTCTCTATGATCCAGTGAGGCAGAATGTCAACGTACCTTGAACATACTTCT